CGCTGTTTGGCGGTGAGAAGCGCCTGGAGGTAGGCAGAGGAGCGGGGACACGGTGTGCTGTGGGGGGGGAAAAAGGGGCTGCGGGTGCAGGGAGCTTGGCGGCTGCAGGAAATAACTCCGGGGGGGGCGGGGGCAGGGGCGGGGAGCTTGGCGGGCCGCAGCAAACAACTCCATGGGCTGCGTGTTTGAGACCCCTGCTCTACTACAACAAGAGATAAGGCATCTCATACACCTGGGCGCAATAGAACCAGTACCAACACAACACAGAGGGAAGGGTTTCTACTCCCATTATTTTCTAACCCAGAAAAAAAACTGGAGTGTAGAGGCCCATTCTCGATCTAAGACTCAACAAGTTTAAGACCCTGCAATTCAGGATGGTCACGCTAGCAACGATCATTCCAGCCCTAGAGCAAGGGGACTGGTTTTCGGCCCTTGACCTCCAGGACATACATTTCCACATAACGATGCATCCCTCACACAGGAGGTTTCTCGGGTTTGTTCTGGGAAAAGTACTTCCTTTTGGATTATCCACTGCTCCACGGGTATTTTCAAACGTTCTTGTGGTAGTGACTGCCCACCTCTGCCAACAAGGGGTCCATAATATTCCCCTATTTGGATGATTGCTTACTCAAAGCATCGACTTGAGAAGAGGCACTAAAGACAGTAGCTCTAGGTCTTCAAATAAACAAACAAAAGTCAACACTCACACCGGCAAGGTTCCACCTGAAGGCAGGGTTACTCCATGGCTCCGAGACAGTGAAATGACCTGTTCGGAGGAGGTAAGGGACATTCTCTTAAACAGCAGACCACCTACTATTCGACATATTTACCTACACAAATGGAAGAGATTCAATACATGGTGCCAAAATAGACAAATTATGGCAACTTTCTCTGCTTTACCAATGGTACTGGACTATATACTGGAACTTAACAGATCGGATCTCTCCATGAACTCGATCAGAGTACACTTCTTGGCAATCACAACATTCCACCATAAAGAGGACAGGTTCTCCATCTTCTCCTACCTGACCACTAAACACTTTCTCAAGGGTCTTTGCAACCTTTACCCTGAAATATGAACCCCAACTCCATTATGGGACCCCCATCTGGTGCTGCTACTAAAACTTCTGATTAGAAGCGCAGGCACGCAGATTCATGTAAAGTAGAGCATCCACAGTAACAACCATCTCGAAGAACCTCAGTTACTGCACAGAGTAACCTTCTCTTCTGTCTTCCAAAGCTCAGTTACCTTGTTTCAAAAGGCAGGATAACCTCATGCTGTTCTTCCCTTCTTGTGGGCTTCCCATGCCCCTGTATGTAAATAGGGCTTCCATTGTCTTGATTCCACCATGCTTAATTTATATTGAAGACAGGTAGATACTTTCTTTACTGTCAGGAAGGGAACCTGTTTCTCCCTGTTTTGTCACAGGCTTTAAAGCATAATATCATTTAAATATCCATATTTCCTCCTATAGTGTTAACACAGGCGTTTCATTATGACATTAATCACCAGTGTGTCAGTAGCTTTTAGGAAAGACCTCACTGTATAAACTTCTATAATATAATAATATTGTATACAATCAGTTGATTAAGTTGCTTATCAGTTCAGTTCCCCACCTCCATCTTTATAGACCAGTAAACCTTTAAAATAGATTATTCTCAAGACTATACCTCAAAGTAAAGTTTATTCAAGCTGTGAGGAAGGCAAATTGGAGTCTGGTGGTGAAAGAAGCTCCATGCTCTTTCTCCCCCGCTGGTGTTTGCAGGAAAAGAACAATTTGTTTTAGCAATCTCCTCCCCTTGTTAGTTGGATGGCCCTGTTTATTGCTTATACATATGTTGACGTAAATCCACCTTTCTTTGTCTGAAGCACTGTTATGCATTGCTTGCCAAACACGTTTTAAGAAAATAATTCTAGCACATATTCATGACTTTTTGTACACACCCTGTGCATACATCAGACAAGAATTGTAATGATCAGTGAGTTTAGTTTTCCAATGATATCTAACATCTAACAATGATATCTACTTTTAGATACAGATTATAACAATAATGTGCTAGGTGTGATGAGTATGTCAGGCCTGACAAGACCTGCTGACACAGTACTAACCACAAATGGGCCTCGGTGTCACAGCATGTGCCTAGAGCAAAAGGGCTTATATTTTTCAAAAATGCAGGTCAGTAAATGTATTCATGTAGTTGCATCATGTTTTTTGCATCCATCCTTCTGGCCTTATTTTCGCCAGCATTTACCTCTGAAAGTCAGTGGCTCAGTGTAGATCTGTGCTATTCCTGAGATCAGCTGGGAATTTCTTGGAGAAATGAATAAGGTTCCTAGCACTACTTTTAAGCTTAGTTCATACAAACTAAACTCTTTTTTTAACTGCCCTCTAGACATGGTCCTTAGCAATAATCCGTGACTATACCTGTTAAACGTTAACATTTTACAGTCTTTTAAAAAATAAGGACTAGTCCAAGACTTTTTAATCCTCTTCCTGCAAAGAGCTGCTGACATTTCTTGGAAAGCTTTAAAAGAATATCCTTTATGAAGCAATTCTAGTTTTCTTGCTTCCTATTTCCTTCTCTCCTATATTTTTAGGGACATTTGTCTGAGAACCGGATCTTTGTTTTCACGATATGGTTATCTCCTGCTGATTAATTCTCACTTGATTTCATAGTGCTCTGTGACCGTGTAGGGATGTTTGGCTCGGAGGCTGTGCGTGGGGGAAACAAGCAGCTGGAATAGAAGAGCCATTAACAAACAACAACTCCAGTTTTCTTACACGTGTCCCCAGTGTTAAGAAAGAGTTTCTACATTTCTCTCTTATCTAGGTTACCCCCTAAATAGGATGTTTCCTTATGAGGGAGGGTGTCAGATGGTCCCATGATATGCCGTGATGTAAAAAGATACCGATTACAAAATTCCCACCAGGCTCTGTAGCCACATTCACTTCTTTCCGCTCCCTCCCCCTTCAGGGAACTGAGTTGAGTCCCTTCCTTTTCAAAGAGAATTTCAATTTTTGTTCTGCAGTTTAAAAAAAAATAATTTTTTTTTAAGTTGTCAACATGTGGCCACTTAAGAACTTGAAACTGTTGATTGGCATTGTGCTGAAATACAAACCACCGCTTTATCTCTGTAAGACAGCACAATGGCCTGTCAATCAAAAGCGCTCCTTTGGATTGTAACAAAAGATACTTTAATTATGTGGTTAAAAGAATGGTGTTAGCTGCTTTGATCAGGTTTGTACACTCTATTGCATATGGTGCTGTGTTTTTAAAATTTTGAAATAATTCCCTTTCGATGATGATTTCCTATTTGGCAAACGTTATTTTTTTCCTCACTTTATTTCCTGGGTGAGGATAAATCCTATGCTTGTTAAATGAATTGGGCTTTTTTTCTTCCTTCCTTGGCATGCCAGCACTGCTTGTTAGCACAGCTATTTGGAAGATTGCTGCTTGCTGCCTAAGGGAAAACACACGGCATTATTTTAGTACTGACCTCACACATTGTGGCTGATTTTCCATTGATTTAACAGATTCCTAGAATATGCAGGCAGGGTACAAGGTGTCTCCCTTAAAAATTCTAGATTGTCTTTCCTAAAGCATTGATAATGTATGTTCTCTCTCAGGAGAAAATCACACCCATATCCCTAAGGAGGACCCTGAAGAGGCATCAAGCTCTCGCGGAGAGGATCACCATGAGCTAGTCAGAGCTACATATCTCAATGATCTGAAAAAAGTTTTGGACAAAAACAGTTACAGCCGCTTCTGTGCAGCACTATCGGCATATAAGAAGACGGATGACTATGACGCCATGGTGCTGGTGGTAGCTGCCCTCACCACCGAGAAGCCAGAGTACTTTCACCTCCTGCAACGCAAGTATTTTTATTTAATTTTTTTTGTTTTAGAAAAAGATATAGGTGCTGTGATCCTGTCCCTCATACACCTCAGATGTACACAGTAAACACTCACTGGTCGGTGTAAATTGGTTTGCAAACTCTATCCTTCCGATGAACTTATTAGCACTGACAGAACACATTGCATCTCTTCTCTCTGTATTCAGCACTCTGGGAAAATGGGAATTGCTGCATAAAAGTGTTCGCCCAATCCAGGTAATTTTGAAGTTATAAAAGTGGGCACTGCTTCCACTTGTTCTGATTACACTCGATTCCTGAAGAAACCTAAAACTGAGATAATGCTTCCACAACTACACTCACTTCCTGCAGATGTGCTTCTTTCACTTGTCTGATTTCATTGCATTATTTTCCTTATTTCTGCGAGGACTGCTCTTTAGAACAGGTGATTCTGGTTATTGCATAGACTCTCAAACTACCGTTCTCATGGCTATTGGCTTCCATATCTGGTGCTATGCCCTAAAAGACTTTCAGCTTTTAGGGATAGACAGTCTCACTTCTGAGTCACTGGTTTTTCCCCTCAGATATTTACATGGACACAGTTAAGGAATTTTATCATGATTAACACTCTTGATTTACCATTATTTATAATAAACCTTTAGAATCTTGAAACTGACATTTATTTCCTTACAGAATTTTTTCCCCTTTCTGCCCATATGTGCTGGTTTGTTATTGTAGAGTTTCTCATTATATCCTAGGCTACTGGCACTGAAAAGTTGAGGTTAGGTTTTGATTTAGCTTAAATAATACACACATTTTCAGACAGATAAAGAAAAAGGAAAACATACACATGTTGGGCCTAACCACCTTGAAGAGGGATCTCTAATTCCACTACTATAATGTTTCATTACTGCCCTCTTACTGACTTGTGGACATCCTAGTGCCTTTGATGGGCAGTCCTCTTCCGGGAGGAGTGGATGCTAAATGTGCAAGGCAGCTGAAGGATGAGAGCAGCTAACAGGAGTAGAAAATGCTGAAATGTGGCTCTGTTGGGTCCCGCAGAATCCCATCCAGAATCCCGCAACAAAGTGTTAGGAAGTAGGTTGCCCTACTCTGTTAACTGTAGACGTGGGTTTGTCACAGCTGAAGAGTAGGATGGAAATGAACCACATGATGTGATGAGTCAGAATTTCCTGTTGAATGTCACATTATTGAATATGCAGTGTTGTTGTAGCTGTGTCAGTTCCAGGACACTAGAGAGACAACGTGTGTGACGGTAGTATATTTTTATTGGACCAACTTCTGTTGATGAGAGAGCTTGAAAGCTTGTCTCTCTCTCACCAACAGAAGTTGGTCCAACAAAAGATATTACCTCAACCACTTTGTGTCTCTGTTATTGACTATGATGTATCAATGTTTTTAGTGAGCAAGCCAGTTTCAAATTGAAGTACCAAAAAGGAATTGTCTAAGCCTGGCAATAACCCATAGTGGGGACTTTTTAAAATTTCTATAATGGTCTGATTCTTTCCCAATAAACAAACGGTACCCAGGGGATTCCTTCTTGAGACAGCCTTTTTGGGCACCGAACTTGTTTGACTTTGTAACACCCTGCAGTGTTCATTGGCGCACCAGAACAGAATTAATGTCTCTTTCAAGGGTGGAAGCAGAATTTTCAGACAAGCTGATGCTGCTGTCAATGCCAATACTCATCCATCCTCTAGTGAGAAAAAAAAATTAAGCATCGACCCCCTCAAGAAATGATCAGACATTTCCCAAACCTTCAGATGTGCTGGGTAGAGGGTGGGAATCAGTAGCTATTCTTGCTCAGTCTCCATAGAGCTTTTCCCTTTTCCAAAAAGGAATGAACAGTCTATGCTAAACCAATTCATTTCATGTATGTTTGACTTTTTAAAACATTTTGGGCAGGGTTCTACATGTTTGTGCGTCCTCATCACAAAGAACAATTCAGGCAGATGTGTAAAGACCTGACTGGAATGAGCTGCAGTGAGGAAAAGAAGAAATTGCAACCGGAAGTGCAGGAGGCCAAGAGCCCTCTGAATTTGGAGAATTCATGTTCCAAAACAGAAAATAGTGAAACTCAGGATAAACCTGTCAGCCACACACCAGGTTTGGAATGAACACTTTTCTGGCATTTAGGTAGTATTATTTATTATTGTGGTAGCACGTATACAGCACTCCAGACATGGATCTGGACCCCATTATGCTAGGTGCTGTACAAACACAAAACACAACAACAGTTCCTGCCCCAAAGAGCTTGCAATCTAAGTATCACACAAGAGAGAACAGGTGGGTACAGAAAGACAAGTGGATGAACACAAGGAAATAATGAGACAGTCACCTGCAAAATCTTCCATGTGAGCAAAGTCCACTATCTTTAGGTAGAGTCTACCACATTAGAGTCGTTCCATTGGAAGGCTCTCCATTTTTTTCAGTGATGATTTTGTGTATGTTAATACAGTATCAGAAACTTGTGGTATGGAACAATGTAATGGGGGGGTGGGGGTGGGGAGTTAATCAAATTTTTCTGGCAGGCTTCTAAATGAAAACCTCCTGGAAATGCCAGCTGGTCAAATTTCACAGAGAGCTGAGGTATGTCTAGTATTATGCATTACACCACATTATATACTGTTTGATATGTATTCGTGTGCAGCTACTTTCAAGAGTGAAGTGCCAAGAAAAACCCAGAGCAAGATTTTCTCCTTCTGTAGTAATCAGAACAGCAAACCTGGATCTCAAAAGACAGACACATTGACAGGATCCAACAGCATAAGAGCGCCGACCAACCCATGCAATTTGCCTGTCTTGCCCCTCAATATGGAGCCAGAATGTGGTAGGTGGAGATTTTGCCCTCTAACGCGAGAGAAGAGTGGTCAAAAATGTGTAGAAAATCCAAATTATGTTCACCCTTTTTAGAAGAACAGTATGAAGCCATCTTTTATTACTACAGTTATTCATGTGTATTTAAGCACTCAGGTACTGCAGTGATGAGTGTGGTATAAAAGCTTATATAGAATAAAATCGAATTTGGGTTTTCTTGTTCAACTATGTCCATTCTGTCTAAGTACTTACTGGCCTAGGATGAGTGCCCCCTGAGTACTAATGCAGTTATCCTCACACCTACCCTGTGAGGTCAGCAGTATTACCCAGCTTCATAGATGGGGAATTGAGGCACAGAAAAATTGAGTGAGGTCACACAGAAGAAACTGTGTAATAGGGTCAGGAATTGCACCTCTAAAATACAGGGGCCTCATAAAACAGATTGCACACACCTTCAACTATTGCTTTCTACAAAATGCACTGGAAACATGAATGTATAAGAACTTCTGAAACAAAGAGTTACTGGAATTTAGTGTCTTCTCTCTCTCTCTCTCTCTCTCTCTCTTTCTCCCCCTCCTTCCCCACCCCGGTAACTTGTCTCTCAACTGCTATTTTTAGGAAGATTCCAGTGCTCTAAATGCAAATCTGAGGATGATGTGCCTTTTAAATGCCAGTTATGTACCTTCACTTGCTGCAAAACATGCTGGGAACAGCTCTTAAAGGTTGGCTTTGCTTATTAGTTTCAGTTATTTTCTGAAACTTTTAGTAAATTTTGTGTTGGTTTAATGAACCAGATGGACAGCCCTGGAGTCGGAAGTCCTCTGCTTACCAACAACACACACAGTTCAGGCTTCCTTCAGGGCCTTGCCACTCTGACTTCATCATCTCCATTCTGCAGTGATTGAAGGCAGACCATATCTTTTGTCCTGGTTGAGAAATAAAGTCTCACCCCATCTGAGCCTTCCCCAATTTTCTCTGCCTCCAGAAAGGTGCAAGTGGCAATCTGAGGAACTTAATTTGTGACAGAGATTTTTCATACATCTTAACTCTTACTTTAAACATTTTCTTTGCCCGGTTTCATTTCATTCCTGAAGTGTCTTCTATAAGGCACAATCATGAGGCAACCTTCCTGCCATCACTGCATCATCCTGATACTTTAGGGTTATCCTGGCTTGCAGAGATGGATGCCTTCCCTCTGGATAAGAAGATGAAAGCATTACTGCAAAGCATCTCTTGGTAGCATCCTCCACAACAGATACTTTCCTAGACTTCCTGTGCTGTGCAGAGCTCTCAGTGACTCAAGTACAGTAGCCTAACAGGATCTGTGGCTCTGCCCATGAAAGGCAGATGAGAGGATGAAAAGGCTTGACAGCTTCCATGTACTTGGGGGTGAGGACGAGGGTGTTAATCAGAGGCCTGTAGACAAGTTGGTCACAAAGGCAGCAGAGAAGAAAGAGAAATCCCTCTCCTCTTATCCACGAAGCAGTACAGAAGGGACTATGAGCAGGCATTCAGAAACAGGCAGTCCTTCTGTACCTACCAGTCTTCTGAGCTTCATAGGGACTGTTTGTCAGGAAGAAGACCCTGGAATATATTGACCAAGTGTGGAAAATCCAGATTAAATTAATAATAAAGACGTCTTCACACAAATGGGTTCTAGAATCGATTCAGAACAGCTGTTCAATAGAATCCCCCCCCCCCCAATGCATGATATTCCCAACATTAAAGAATCCAGGAAATTACAAGAAGGCCAATAGGCCATTTTGTGACTGCTGCAGATTAGGGCTATAGAACCAGTCCCATCAAACAGGCAATCTTATGGAGTGTGTTTGATTGTTTCTTTTTGGTTCAAAATAGAAAAGGGCCATGCAGACCATCTTGGATCTCAAAGCACTCAGTTTATTCACTCAAAAGTCAAACTTCAGTATGGAGGCTTTTAACTCTATCATAAAAGTTCTGCATCCCCAGAACTTCCTGGCATTGATAGAGCAGAAACAGGAGTGAAGTGTGTCATTACAAGTGTCTAAATTTCTGCCACTACAAGAGACACTTTGAGTATAAGTCCCTTCCTTTCAATTTGTTGGCCATGCTATGAATCTTTACTGAGGTCCTAGTGGCAGCTGTCCAAGAAACAGGAATATCTGTCTGCCTGTTCCCAGACAGTTTGCTCATCAACCCCTCTCGAGGGAGAAAGCCCTTGAGGCCAGCATCCTGCTGGTATGTCCTTTCTTAATCTCTGCTGCAGAAGGCCCAGGCTGATTATAAAACAGCATCATATCACTAGATTCCTAAGAACTGAAAAATCCACAGGTTTGTTTCCTGTTTGCTACAGACCTTTTATGAATCCTTCCTTTGAACCTCTGAGGAAGGACTCCCTGTGATTTTTCACTTGTAAACTCTTTCCTAATTGCTATTATGTCAGGCTGGGGGTTTTTTTGGAGGGGGCGGGGAGCCACAGTACTGCACCATACTGTATTTTTCGTCAGGATGAGGTGGTGCTTCTTAGGACTGAACGACACCTTAATTCCCAAGATTAGTTTAGTTTTTTCTTAGCTCACAAGCAAATGAACCTTCCATCCTTCTGACATAATTCTCAGCAGCCTATAGAGATGAAATGGCACACCCTTGTTTTATGGAGTGTAGTTACAACCAGCCTGTCGTGGATGTAGTGGTGTCTTAACTTCTGTTCCCAGAGGGCATGTATTCACTGTGGGGGGAGGGGAGTGTGTTCTTACTCATCTGCATTAGTTAACTCAGGTTAAAATAGCAGGGAAGACGTGGCAACTCATTTTTTAACTCACATTAGCAGATTGAGTTCAACCATAGGCTCCCCTATAAGCTTTAACTCATGCTGCTAACTCAAGTTAAAAGTGGAGTTGCTGTGTCTTCATAGCTATTTTAACCCAAGTCAGTTAATTTGGATTAGCTAACCCAAATTAGGAGCAAACCTCTTTTTCACTGAAGACCTACCCCTCCTGGTTTCTTTGAATGCACGCGGCACAGGTCTTGGGTTTCTTGACCTGTCTCATGGAGGAAATGTGATTCTTCTGCTCTGACTAGGATCTGGCTACACTACCCTGAATATACCAGCCACTTATCCTGCAGGACCAACTGGTTTTCGAGCACCTGCGTTTCCTCCCTTCAGGAACCTGTGACCAGTGATACAGGGTTTGTATACACTGCAGCTGGGAGTGTGCTTCCCAGCCTGAGTAGACAGATTTGCACTAGCTTGCTAAAAGTAGCCGTGTGGATGTTGCAGCCTGGGCAGCAGTTTGGACTACTCCCCTAAGTGCAGATCCAGGGGGTCGGATGGGCTTGGCCTTGGATGGCTCGCCAAAGCCACCTCCCATGCCACAACATCCACACTGCTATTTTTAGCAAGCGAGCTTGAGTGAAGTTAGCACAAGTCTGTATGCCCATGCTGGGAGGCACACTCTTAGCTGCAGTGTTTTCAGGTCTGTTGCCAGAGTTGAAAGCTCTGGAACAAACATATTTGGCTTACTTTGTAGCATGGGTCTGGTATAGTTTGGTTGATGAGAAGTTGAGTATCTTGCAGTTTTGGAAGCTGGCATTCTTAGGCCTGGTGTGGGGCAGGTTCTCTGATCCAAGAGACAGGATAAAAGGTTTGTTCTGCATCCAGTCACCTAGGAAAGAGGGGGCAACCGAGTGTTAATATTGTGGGACACAAAAGGTCTGAGAGAGGAAAGAAATTTTCCCATCTCTCTCTAAAGCCTGGAGGAGAAGCCACCCCTCATTCTTCTTCAGTTCTTGATCCAGCTTCATTCCCAGGGGGATTTGTTTTATGACAGATGTCTCACGAGCAGGAAATGAACAGCCACTGACCACTTATTTCCTCTGGGCCCCCAAACCACCAGCGCATGGTAGTAACATTTGGCCTAGTCTGGATTCGAACTGGTGACTTGTAGACTAAACTTGGTTCCTTTACTACAAGTTACTCATGAGTTCATTCATTCTAAATAACCAGTTCAAGCTTACTGCATTTAATGAGGAAGTGACTAACAATCCATCATACAGCACACAATGACTTCTTTTTACCCTAATCTTTAATCCTTTTTCAGTCATTATTATGGTAAGACCACTTAAAGGTGTGGGAAGAATGATGGTCAATCATTAGAACTTTCAACACAGGAGGATGTTCAGTCCATAGGGCATGCACTAGGAAGAGAAGCTTGGGAAAGATCTCTCTCTCCAGTGAATTCTTTCAAGACCCATTTGGCAAGCTGAGCATCATGCACATGATATATACTGTAGGGCTTAGTCTTTAAATGTTTTGTGAAATTGGTGGTCTTAAATGCGCCAGTATACAATGAACAGGTAGACACTGTGCAGTTTTTTCCACATACCTCTTCCAGTGTGCCTCAGTCCTGATTTGCAGCATTTTGTGCAGGTTATTCCTGAGCAGAAACTATACATTGTCCTACCTTGCACAGTTGGTCTGTAATATGGGCAGACCATCATAATACTTTGCACGTATATAGTGCCTTCCATTTGAGGATATCAAAGCATGCTTACAAATGGATGTCTCCTGGGGATTAGATTGAGACAACCAAGCTTCTGTCCATTTGTAGCCTTTCAACCCCTGTTTCCAGAATCAAAAGGGTAATGCATTAAGCCACTCTGCTGCAGTCTAGCTTCTATTACGAGGACTGACTAACTTCTATACTGGGAGACCTTGAACTGCTACTGCTCACGCTGCATCTGCCCTTTGAGTATGTAGCAATCTCCAAGGCTGTCAGTATGACCTCCACCAGGACTAAATTTAGTTTAGACAGTCTCACTTTTAAAATATTTAAAACATTTTTTTCCCTTGGCCAATAGCCTTCGTCCCAGAGTTCCTAGGAGGAAGTGGAAAAATTGGTTCTAGGCGGCTTCATCTTTGAACAGAGAGTAAGTCAACAAGAAGGTCTTGGAGGTTACCTTTCCCTCAATGTGGAAAAAAAGGAGCTCTGTTAACTAGGGACATAATAAGGAATCTCACAGGATCAAGTTCATAAAGGCTAGAACTTTTTCACGTTAGGAGCAGTGAGACCAACAGGCTATAACCTTCACAGCAGAGAGGTTTTCATCTCACAGGCTTTGTCTTCACGGACCCAAAAAAGGCATTTTTTTACAGTGAGGTAACTAACATGCATTAGCTATCCCACTGTTAAAAATCCACTTATTTCACATAGCCACAATCCGCTAACAGTCGCATCTTGTCCTGCCACCACAACTTGGCCATGGCCATAAACATCACGGGTTGCTTTGCGTCTCAGATAGGTCACTTCCCCTGTTCTGTGCTTTGAATTGTACAAGAGGAAGTGGGAGCTCAAGAAGTTCAGCTACTATCTTATTTAGTTTTTTGAACAACCAAATATTTGTATACTTTTGCAACAGCTGTTGCATATTCTGCATTTTTTCCCCTTTATTTTAGCCTTTTTAATAATTGCACAATTGGAATTGGTTTAACAGAAACCATTCCTGTGGGGTGAGTTGCTACGAGAATTGGGCAGAATTTTTTTGTTGGCTAAATTGCTGAGGAATGCATTCTTAAGGGCACCAAAATTACTTGAAAATTTGGGTCAAATTTAGTGGATAGTTTTACCTGAAAAAAGGGGGTACAATTGAAAAAGTCAAAACATTTTCTTTTCATCATTTTTAAGTTAAACAGTTTAATATCTCATTTTGAAAGATGTTTCATTTAGAAATTTATCTAATTAAAAAGGTGAAAAACACTCAAACAACCTGAAACAGCAAACTGGAAAAAAAAAATTTTCAGGTCAAAGTACATGTTTTGTTTCAGTGAGATTAAAAAAAATCAGTTTTCAGTGTGAGCTGAACTAAATTTTCAGGTTTTTGGTTGTTTTTTTTGTTCAGCCCCTGAACAGAAAAATTGGTTCTTCGCTCAGCTTGAATTGCTACTTCATTAGGAAATTTTTCCTTTTCTTTCTTGTGTCACAACCAGTTAAATGGTTACATGTAAAGTATGTTTGTAATAATTATAATGGTTGGGGACTGGCAAATGGTGGGTGTGACTGATGTTTATATTGAGACTGCTATTCTGTAGACTTCCTCCTTTGCAGATCTATTCTATGCAGACATTTGACAGGAAATGTAATGCCTGTAATCTGTGTTTTGTTCATCTGTCTCCCCAGATTGCTAAAGAGTGCCCAGAATGCCAAGCTGATACCAAGAGGAAGCATTTAGCCCAGGTTTTTTTCCTGCCATAACCTCCCTGACAAGGGGCAAGTGCATCACGTCAGCACTGGTTAAAGAGCCAGCAGAAAAGGAGATTGGAAAAAGAAACAGGGTGCACATTCATTTACAGACCTTTGATCTCAGCTTCTCGCAGTATCATTCCTCTCCTTGGCAAACCTCATCAATCCCCAAAGACCTCTCTTCCCACTTCTCTCTCAACAAGAGGGGAAAGAAGCAAATGTTGTCCTTAGAATTGTATTGAAATGGGGGATCTTCATTTCTTCTCTGTTTGAATCAGCAGATTCTTGTGACATTCTGGTCCTTTTAGGTTGAACTTTGACAGCCTGGAGGAAGTTTTCAGTAATTGCCTCCGCTCAAATATTTACTCAATCCTGGAAAATTTCTCAGCAGCAGTAGTGCCACTGAATCCCCTTTTCCAGGAATACTACTTTCCATTGGTGACTGACAGGAGCTGTTGCTGCTAGGTGATTTCAGAGGTGGTGAAAGCCTTTTTTTAAAAATCCAATAGTTTTTACTGCACTTCACCGGCAGTACAGACCCAACACATCTTGTGCTTGTACCCACTCATTTATGCCTGCCCTGCCAATTTGAAGCCTGTTTCCTATATTGCAATAAGTGCCGAATGTTGCACTGAGTGTGCTTCCAAAGAGGATTGGGCTTCTTCTGAGGCACTTGCACACTCCTGTTGTGTCTGTACGGTTTCATACTTGTGTTTTCAGAAGTGTAGCAGGGAGAGTGAAAAGACTATTCATGTTCTTTCAAAGTGAACATACAAACTGATTTTAAACTCCATCAAGTTGGAAAAGAGAAACACTTCGATATTTTCACTTTCTGACTAGGGGTATTAATGTTTTGCTAATTTAAGGAATTGTATCAATTTTAAATCTTCAGTGGAAATTCTAAAATAAACTAAGTAAAAATGAACCAGTTTGCACACCCTGAGTATATTGTACATGGCTTTTTGTTTTTCACTGTGTCTAGAAGAGGTGGGCATTGAATCCGAGTAGAATCTAAGTGGAAGTAAATAGAAGTCATTTTGCTATATGACTTTAAATATTCTGATATTTTTGCAACAATCCTTTGATAATTTTTTGTCACTCTTGTGTTTTTAGTTGTCAAATTGTATAACATGATATAATGGCTGGAAGTTGAAACTAGGCAAATTCAGACTGGAAATAAGGCATACATTTTTATTGGAGAGTAATTAACCATTGGCCAATGTACCGAGTGTTGTGATGGATTCTCCATCACTGACCATTTTTAAATCAACACCAGATGTTTTTCTAAAAGATCATCAGCTTTAGGAAATATTTTGGGGAAAGTTCCTGTGGCCTGTGCTATGCAAGAGGTCAAGATGATGACAATGGTCCTTTCTGGTCTTAGAGTCTATGAATCAGTGACAAATACATGAGACTTTCAGATGCTTAGAATTTGGGCGGGGGGGGGGGTGTCATGGAATTGCCCTTTTGGTAAATTTGATTTGCTTTTGCTTAGCCTAAAGGTGGATTTTGGGGGGGAAAGTTTTTGGTAAAATTCCCTTTGTCCATTTTCAATATATTCAAAAATGAAAGGTGAGTGATAGTCTGAGAAATTTGAGAGGGTCTTTTTTTCTCATTTTGATAACTCAAAACTGCCATTTTTGAAATTTCACACTTGCCGTGGACTTTGTCCACAATTAGGAAAGTGTCTTTGACAAATTAGAAGAAACTTCAGTTATAAACAACTTAGTTGTGCATGTGTGGTATGTGACTTTTAGTGTGTCAAAATGTGGAATTGTGAGTATGCATGTGTGCTCCAATTTGAATTCACATCTATTGGTTTTAACTGCTGCTGTGTTTTTTCCTAATAAGTTCAGACTGGAAGAAGGTGGGGGTATATTTTGTTTTTCAGTGATGATGATACAAAAGCTTTTCCTTACTACCTGACTGAATAATTAGAAGGGGAAGTTGAAATATGAGGATTTAGATGGATCTGAGGACAATCTTGTGCTGGAATATTTTCTTCCAGACTTCAATATGTCCTAACATGTGGACATATTTTACTGTACATTTAAATTTACCAGCACCTTACAGTTAGCATATTAGCTTATTTTTGCTGTCTCTGGCTTTTCTGAGTACCTAGATGTCACTTTTTCTCCTTTGTTTTTTGGAAAGTAGTCTCAGATGATTTTGAGGACTTCAGCCAGATACACACTACATTTTATTTTTTTCCGATTTTTTTTTAAACCTTTTTGTCAGTTCTGCTGATGTGCTGCTGATACTAAGATAGGTGTGGGAGACATCAGCAAGGACAAATAATGCAAAGGGATGTAGTAGTTATAAACGTGGATGGAAAATAGTAGTTAAATGAGGTTTCAACCTGGAAGCTTATACTTACGCAGGGAAACCAAGAGGAAAGATATTCAGCAAATAGTAATGTTGGAAAGACCGTAGGGCTGAAACGCGGCCAGCAACAAATTCCTGCCTCTTTAAAGCCCCCAAGGTCTTGTAACAGACTGATACCACAAAGCTATCATCTGGTTAGGGAGGGAGAGGCTATAATACAATGGTGTAGTGATAAACAGGAATAGGTGTGGAGGAAACCAGGCATCCCAGATAAGGTGTCTCCACACATTAAATATAATGAAATATTTTTAGTGGTGATATTTTCTTTGTATTCGTCACATGACATCATCCTCAACCTAAATACTTTTTCTAATCAGGAGTCCCCTTTATGCCTTTTTTAACAAAACTATATCAGTCATCGTGACTTCATGGAAATCAAAAATAGTCAGTGAAAAGCAGCTTAGCACTCCTGCAGCATCTTTGTAAGTCATCTGAGCTCATCACATGAATCAAGTGCCACACCCACTCCTGAGTGTTCCGTTCCAGCCATTGATTTTTGGTGCTAATTTCATGCCTTAATACTGCTTGCGTTAGGCCCGTGCAACCTGTGGCACAGAGCAGAATCATAATGGACTCTATTATAATGAAACTCTCTTTGAGGCAGTGGAATATTTCAGTGCGCTGCAATGTGCAGTCTGTGATTCTGGTTGTGTGGAAAAACTTCATTAAGTTGCTGTGTCATTTAAAAGAACTGCACCTTGCTCCTTTCACCACTAGAGGGAAGTTGCAGTACAGGATAGAACATGGCTTTTCACTGAAGAGTATAATTTTGGACTACTTTTGGTAGTGGAGATATCCCTTGAAATGATGACTTCACCTGTATCTATTTAAGGGAGCTTTAACTGCTGCAGACTCATGCAGCTGGATTTTACTTCGTCTAATTTTTGATTATTGGGTTTCACAGTCTGATGGGTGGAAATTATTCTAATTATTCAGGTAACAGAAATAGAAAATTGTTCAGTAAAGTTTGTGGGAAGATAACCAGGTGAGTGATCTTGCTGTTTTCCTCATCCATCCCAAAAACATAAACCCCCAAACTAGAATATCTTCATTTCACATTCTTCTGTGTGGATGTCTTGGGGGGCAGGGGAGATGGGTGGTTGGATCTTAAGAAGACATTTGGAGACGGTGGATTTATTAACCTTCTGGGCCAACTGTAAATCTCGATATATATCACAAGCGTTTGGGGAAGGGATAGTTTGAGGAATGTAGAGTGGTCATTTGTGAGATGGAGGATGATTATTGTGGGCAGAGTTATGATTTATTTATTTATGCGTATTACCATAGCCTGTGGGAACCCTGCCAGAGTGTTTCAGTCCCGTGATCTTACCAATAGATGGGTCTCTAGCTGGGTTCTGAATTAACACAGTTTATAGTACAAAAATAATTGGGTTGAGGTAATTGATTTACTGTACTCTTACCTTCCTAAAGGTTGGAGGTGAGGTGGGTGGGGGAAGAAGGTGCTGCTGTTCCGTGGATACAGAATTTCACTCTTTAGTAGTGTCAGTGTGGCAACTCTAATGAGCACTAAAGTCATAAAACAAAAATTAACTATAATACTTTGGATTTAGCTGCGGGGCCAGAAGCCACTCACTGGTTAGCCTTACAAGGCTAGTATCGAAGTGCCAATTTTAAATGAACATCTGGACATCTGTAATGCACGAGGCAGATAAGCCAATATTTTCACTTAGCAAATTCAATGGCTTCATTCATCAGAATATCTGCAATAAAGGGTGTTAATGCAGATCTGTTTTTCATCTGAAATATTGGGAAATCAGGGGGAAATCTTCCAGATAAACACTTGCACTTGTTTAGCCATTCAACAGTATTAGTGTATGACTGTTTACCATTTCAGCTTGTTCAGAGATTTGCAAATGTTTACACATCATCCAATCCCTTGCAACTTCCTGGAAATATCCTGAGTGAATGGGTAGCTAACAATGACAACAGACTGTGAAAATCCATTATATGTTAATAGAAATTATTTGGCCTTTTGGTTACCGGAGAATGAAGTGTGTTAAATCTCCACAGAAACTAACAGGCAACCAGATATTCACAGCATCCCTCTCAAATCCCTGCTTTCCAGGGAAGTGGCTGCTACTTTCAAACTTTGACATTTGTAGCTTGTCTGCCTACTATATATACATATATAATTTAGTTTTAATAAAATGATTTAGATAAGTGCATATTGAGGAAGCAAACGCCTACCAGTCACCTGCTGACAGTGACTGAATTGAATGAGGTTGCAAATCATGCAGATTAATATTATCCAGATCATGCTTCCTAAAAATAACAGCAATAAAGCTAAAACCTCATTTGGAATACGGACCTGTAAAGGTCAGCCTGTTACTTCTCTATCATATGGTAGGAATTGCCAGACCAGACTAGACCTCGTTTCCAGCTACAATATCGGCTCTCTGACAGTGGCCAGAATCAGATGCATTAGAGAGAATGTACAAAAAACCCTGCAGTAGTCACATGAAATAACCAGCTCAAGGATAGCTACCATTTAACCCCATCCGTAGAGGTTTGGTTTATGCCCGGAAGGCTTCTATCCCTTCCAAACACTCGGTTATAGTTTTAATCCTGTCTGACTTCCACGCACATGTCCAATCCTTTTTCAAATTCTGGTAAAATTATAAAATTGATCTTTGACAGGTCCAGTGGCTGTAAGAACAAGGATTCAAATGTGGATTCACCCTTCAGAATGGGAGCAGAGCCAACACTGACCTAGAGTTGGAGGTATGATAGTTTTGTGTTTCCAACTAAAGATTAGTCCCATCTGCTCAGTCAGAGGAAATGCTCAGTGTAGGTCCTGCTTAATTCTAGTCGCGTGCAGGATACTCATGCAACAGCTGGTTCTTTGGGAGGAAATTCCCACTTGTCTCCCCCATGTCTGACTCTCTGCTTTGCATTTTGTTTTAATAGGTTTTGCATTTGCTTTTCAAAACACATGGTACATGACTCTCCTTTGAAGGTTGTTGAATGCTAGTAATTGGGGGACCTGTTTGGATGGGAAACAGTCTCTTCCTCGGGGGGGGGGGCACTACTGGGTCACTTGCAGTAATTGCTTTCATTAATCTATTGCCTGGGTGTGCAGGATGTTTACCCCACACACTTTTTTTTTTTAAGGTGGTCAGAAGGAAGGCTATACAGTAACGTACGCAGTGCGTACACTATATATACTGTGTGTGTTTATGGAAATAAAATATATAGTGAGAGCATGCAGGATAAGGCATAGAACTGTATATATAGAATGTTACATTAATGTTGCACCTGTGTTAAATTATCAATATCATGGATGGTGAGTGATTTGGACATGGGTGTTTGACCCTGCAGTCTTTATTTGGGCAATGTTCTTGGGGAACCCATCACAAACGCCATCTCCTTCCGCTCCAAGTGCAAAGTGCATTTCTTTGACCTGCCTTCTGTAACCTGAATACACAGCAACATGAATATTTATTAAAGAAAGACGAGACCCTACCAAAACAAGGCACTCCGCTGCACATGCTTCTCACACTGGGAAGAGGATGAGAGAACAAACATGCGGCAGAAGTTAGTCATGTTGTTTAATACACACTAATGGAAAATGCTGAGATACTGTGGTGATTAGAACCTACTCAGGAGAGTTTTAATAAGAAATAGAGCTTTGAGCCTGTAAAGTGGAGTCTTATTTTGAAAAATGTCTAAAAATGGCAGCATGGTGTTTTCTATGTATTGTCTCAGTGATGTCTAGATAAATCTGTCCAGTTTGCAAGTAAAAAAGCAATTTTGGGGGGTCTAACTGTGCCAGCCCAGGCAGCTTAAGCTTCATTCTTTTTGGCTTGTGCATCGCCAGTAGTCACCTGCAACAGGAGTTTAGTTAACAATCCTGTTTGTGCAAACCTGAATAGAATTCAGCTCCCTCTCCCATACTGCATCGGCTCTGCAGAGCGAACAACAATAAAAACTAAGTAAAAGGCCAGCAGCTGAGTGGCAAAGTAAGCAGGTGCTATTCTGCATAATCACTTTTCACTGTTAAACACCTTCAAGTTGAATTTGTGGCACCATCCTGAATGGTTTACAATGCAAATTAAATGAAGAGGTTTTATACTTGTGTTTGACGCAGGAGATGCTCAGAAATGCTTTGTCAATATCTAATGAGCACAATTGAACTTTTATTTACAAAACATCCTTGGAATGCCAGGAAAATAAGCGGAAGAACAATTCAGGCTTATGTGCCCATAAGGTGTGTTGCTATAGGTGTGTGTCTGTGGGCAACAATTGCAAAATCAAAAGGGGAAAAATATTCCCCAGAAGATTCCCCAAGGTCAATGCAGTGTGACATTGCGTGGCTTCGTACATAGCACGTTTTCTTTTCTCCTGTTTGTTGGAAGGAAATGGAAAAAAAGTACCATGAGTTTCCTGTTCTCCACCTAGCACAGTGCTATCAATTTCTGCTCTGCTTCTCTCACTCTCTAACACAAGATATACTTGTTTGTGGGGTAGGGGTCAGAGTGTAAGGAGATTAGAGGCAAGATACCAGCTTGGTCGGGGAGCAGTTCTGCCCCTGTACTGAAGTGTATACTGAAGAGTAACTCCGCTCATGCTACTTCCAGCGGGGCTAGCGAAGAGAGGACAGAAGTACTTGTAAGGAAAGTGGGGCACAAGACAGAGCAGTGGGCGCTGGAGCACATTCATTGCCGTGGAGTGCACAGAGGCTGTCTGCAGACGGACCACCAGGTTTGGCTGGCTTGTGAGGGGTGGTTAGGGTAGCATAGGTCAGAAATGAGAAGCAGCTGCTCTGAGGATTTCTGATGAGAATTAGACATGGGGCATTGATTCTCACAGGACCCGAGTCGGGGTGTTCTGCTTTGTGTCGCCACCCCCCCACCACACACACACACACACAGAGGGATCATGTGCAGCCAGAGGGGATTAGCTGATGGACCCTGATGGGGGAAGATTTCCTAGACTGTAGGGCAGAGGAGAGGTCTATCCAGTGGATCAGTGTAGTTATCTGCTTTCCCCATGGATCCTTAGGAGCTACAGCGTCTGGCTAAGGAACATCACTACAGTATTTACATGTTGACTTTCTCTCCTTATATTGGACACCCAGGGAAGGTTCGGTTACTATGGAAAAGCCAAGGCAAGTAAACGCTTTACTATTATCTTTGAAGGTGGTCAGTCTAGTGGTCAATCATGGCTCTTATATGAGGGGAATGCATAGCTGTGGCCAGGGTCTGAGAACGCTTGGTACCTGCTCCTGTGAGTTTTGACCTGAGGAGCAGTTTGCTAGATCTATAGAGGGGGACAATGCAGTAGCATCTTGCAAAGTGAAACTCTATGGAGTGCCTGAGGTAGTTTTTTCTCTGCAAGATTCCTCACCTTCCCCTAATAATGACCATGGCAATGGTCTTTGTGGCCTGTGATGCTGTGCTGGGATCTTATGACGTTGGGGAATGGGGCATATTTAGCTACTGATGATGCAGGCAACAAATATGTAAGTGACAAAAAGATTCCCTGACTGGGAAGTTATTGAACATTTACAGCTAGGGAAGAGAATGTATAGAGGGGGAATTTCCCTGCCTTCCCCCGGTAAATCAATTACTGATGTGTCAGGGTAAAATGTGTAATACTCAAACTGGAGCGTGCAGATGGGGCATGTGCAAAATTTCAGATCTCATTTGCTTCCTGGACAAATATTCAAGGCAAATACACACGTGTGCGCACGCACACAGTTTTGATTCAAATACAGTACATACAAAACTGCCTGGACATAGCGATTAATTATTGTTAGAAAATTCTAACCCATGCCCCAGTGTGCATGGGAAAGTGGAGCCAAGCTTTCGAGTAACAGATTTTTTTTTTTATTGTGTTTTGGCAAAAGAAGAAAATATTCCCCTAAAAAGGAAGCAGATAAGTTGGGCGGCTTTCTGGATGTCTCTTAGAACTGTGTGTGTTCAGATTGGATCCAGTCCTGTGTGGGTGGGAGTTTTGCCATTGACTTCACTGGGAACAGGACCAGACCCCCAGGGAAAGAGAGAAGTCCTGATTTTTCCAAAGTGCCTAATGATTCTGGGGGCTTCAAGGGGTAGGGTGGGGGGAACAACCTGTGACATCTTACACGGGCCTGATTTTCAGAAAGGGCTGAGCTCCCAAGCACTTTCACCTGCAGTTAAATACAGCCCCAAGCCCTGCAGCAGGGACAGGCTGAAAAGGGGGAGGTGACCCCCCTTCTGGAGCTGCCTAGTGCCTATTTAGAGCCCCCTTCCAGGGGGGGGGGAGTTTCCAGGAGGAGCCAAGGGGGGTGCTGCTGACTAATGAAAGGGGCGGCTGCCTTATCCCCTGTTGGTCACCCTGTACTGCGGCCCTCACTGGGGGACCCCGTCACCTCTCCTGGGTGCCTTTCCCCAGCCAAGGGAGGTGCAGCGGCTTCCCAGGTAAGGGGCACGTGTCCCCTGCACCCGGTGCTGCCCGGCCGCTTTGCGCGGCGTCCCGGCAGCGGCTGGAGACCGGCCCGGCCCCGAGCCCTGGCGGGGAGAGAGCTGGCATCCCGGGGCGCTGCGCCTGGCGCAGGGAGGAGAACCTGCCGCCCGGCCCGGCCCGGCCCGGCCCTGGCCGGAGGGAAACCAGGCAGCCGGCGGAGGCTGGGTCCTGTGCGGTCGCTGCAGCCCCGCTCCCGCGGACTGCCCCGGGCTGGCGGCTGATGATTCATCACAGCTCCGTCTTCTTACGCAAGAGGCGATCCCAGGCCTTGCTGTAGGGGCAGGGCTTGGCTCGGCGGCGTTATAAAGTGCCGGGGTAGGTGGCCGGGCAGGCAGAGACCGCCGGGGCAGCAGCTGTGAGCACCAGCGCTCGGCCCGGTAAGGAGGGGAAAGGCAGCCGGGGGGGGGGGTGAGGTGTGGTGTGTGGCTGTGTATACCTGTGTGTGAGAACTCGCTTTATTAAACCGGGCTTCAGTTTTTCAGGGTTTATTCATTTCATTTGGGGGACCAGGTGTGTGTGTTAGCCATTTTTTTTTGAGTTTTTAGGTAGATGTCCAGAAATCAGAGGTGTTTCGGGACTTTCTCTTTGTCTACGCTACCGCAGTGAGCGTGTGTGTTACTCGTTACACTAGCACCCTGTAAAGCGTAAGCTCTTCGTCACATTCCGTGGTGCGCTTTAGCCTCGCTCTGGTTCAAACTGTTCTATTAAAGCACACTAGGAACACTTTAGTGCACACCAGCAGGGTTGACGGGGATTAATTATGCGCAACACATTAGTGTGCTTTAGAAATCATACCCCCTGTAATGCGCACTAGTGCTCTCTGAAGACAAGCCGTTAGATACAAGTAACCATTTCCAGTGATTTTCTGCTGTTTATTGGGTAAACACAATTTTATTTATTTTTGTAATGGGGTGTTATCGCAGTATTTATCAGTGAAAAGCTAAAATCAGAAGCCCTACAAATACAAGACAGGATAGAAAGTAAGGTTTGCATGAGTCTTCTTTGTTTGTTTGTTTCAGAATTTTGTACTCTTGTGTGATTAGGACTGATTTTTATGAGTGTGTCATACATGTCTGTGTATCATATATAATCATGTGTATATGCAAACTGTGTGTGTGCGTGTGTGTAGAGAGAGAAGTATAGATATAGCAGACTGATTTTTCAGAGGGAGTTGGACGCTATCAGCACCTTTGCAAACCAGGTTGATGAAATGTGTGTGATGTTCTCCTTGACTTTCAAGGCTCCTAAGTCATGTCATTAAATAGGGTAACATTTTCAAGTGTCCTTTTTTCCCCAGTAAATTGTAAGAGCTTTAATATGTAATTACAAACTTTATAAAGCAGATGGTTTTAAGCTGATAGACCAGTCTACTTGCCTGGCAGCTTGTTCTAGTTTTTCTGGTAGAAATTTGTATGTGTCCATCTCAGAATTACTGCATTGTGCTTCTTAAATATTCAGTTAGACCCTTGATAAAAATCCATATCACTTTTGCATAGACTTTTTTACTGAAGGCTCAGAGTCAATATTTAAACTGCTGTACCTCAATTATGTCTTTTTAAAATACTGAATGAAATCAGGTCATAGGGTAACAATCATCATGTTAGTCACCACCACGGGGTTAACCCAGGATCTCTGGAGCTGAGGCCAGACTTTCAACAGCTTGAGCTAAAGGACTAAGTCCCTGGTTGGTAGCTGTAGCAGACATCCTCTGTGGATCAGGCACAGAAGGGGATGCGAAACGTACACTGAGCAGTGGGCAACAATAGCATAGGGGATAATTGTTTACCAACTGTCATGCAATTATACCAGTGCAAAAGGAAGATCATCTCATTCTTTGCTCCCTCCGTCTCTCATCTTTATGCCGGTCTTGACTTTGCCAGCTCCTAGATACACATAACTTCCTCGTGTTAAATGTTTCGAAGGCCACCTTCTGAGTAAAGAATTCTTTGACTTTTGTGTCTGACTCCCTATTGCTCTCTCTAATCCAGATCTTCTCAGAAAACTTGTCTGACAGTTTCCTTCTCACATCTCCCTTTGTCTGTGAATCCACCTGCTGCACATCTCCAGACTCAAGAGAATTAAACTTTACCTACATCTCTGCTCTGCCTAAACTCTTATCCATGTATCATTTCCTCAATGTGGCTACTGCAATATCCTCTTCAATGTTCTCTTTAAATGCATAGGGGCCCATAACGACCAAATGACTAACTCCAGTAAGTGGAGTCATATAGTCTAAGACAGTTCAAAATTGCCCACTCTGAGGCATTCTCTGGAGGTCCCTGGGATATGCTCTAGGAACCTCATTCTGAGTGGATTGAGGTGACTTTCTTTTCACACTCCCTGTCTCCAAGTCACTGAGTCCCTTCCCTTCCTTAAGACCCCACCTGTACTACACAATGGCCCAGTGTTGCATAACTGATATTGCAATCACGGTTAACATTCTTGCGTTCCAGAGCACCCTGTGAATATTGGAATTGTGCCCCCAACTCTGGGGCTGATTGAATATTACTGTCGAGATCACAGTAAAGAGGAACTCTGCTTATTTAGGCTGGATCATTTAAAATCATAGCCAGGAGTGAGAGATCTCAGCCTTTGGTGAGCAGCTGTAACTCTTGTTCTTCTTGGACTTCTTCAGCAACACTTTTAGACACACCAGGATTCAAACAGTGCATCACATCTGTGTAGTGATATTGACAGCATCCTGGATAAGAGCTGTCCACTAATAATTCATGCTCTTTACTGTGTCTCTCTCTGAATGCAACAGAGCTGGAACTTTAGCAGAAATTAGCATCACTGCATCCCAGGAGAAGAGAAGCAGCACAGAAATCAATTAGGGCCCAATCCAAGCATCTGAAGACGTCTCCAAATACCATGAGTTCTAATACTAACACCATCCACAGTGCTATGCTGTCCAACCGCACACTGAATGTGAGACATTCATCCAAGGTAACAGCCTGTTTGCTCTTGATGTTGGTCTAATGTATTTTTAACGGGAAGGGGGGAACCAAAGAAGGCTCTGTGGCTCTCCAGACCTTTAGTGAAGCCCCCCTTGTTTCTCAAAGGGTTTTAAATTTGTATGAAAATGTTAGTGTCTCTGTGTTTTATGGAAAACTCCCGCTCCACACACCCGGGACCTTCAGTCCTTAGTCAGAACCTCATGTTCTAAAAGGCTCTAAATTGTAATTTTGTCCCATCTTAACATCCAACTCCATTTCTTTTCTTTTAAACCTGGCAGGGTGTTGGTAAATTTCAGGAAGTTAGTTAAATCACTCTGCTCCTCTTTGAGGGTTCTGTATCTGAGTGTCTTTGTTTTCTGCTTTTCGTGGGGCTCCTGTCTGGTAAAATTCCCTACATCACTGCAAGCCGGGGAAAACCTGTAATCCCAAAGTAGCTCCATTCACTCGAACATTGCACTTCTGTATTGGGTCTGCTAAGGACTACATCCTCGCCCCATTGAAGTCAATGGCAAAACTCCCTTTCGGACCAGCGTGGGGCACTAACGAAGGATATGGAGAACATATACTTGTTCAGGGGTCTCAGTGAATTTGGCTGCTCGAATAGGTCCTTGTCTGCAGTGTGCTAGACAAGACACAACATGGAAAGGCCCTGCCCCGAAGGGCTGAGAGCCAGCAGGGACAAGAGGGCTCATGCTGGGGAGCCCAGAGGGAGGAGGAGTGAAGGGGATTTTTAAAATTGGTTTCAATCCCTTCTTGTGGGCATGGCAAGAAGCAGGCACTTGGGGTGGGCAGAAGTGGTGGGTTAGAGAGTCAGGATGGGGGGGCGCATTCCATGCCTATGGGGCAGCATGTAAAGGTGAGTGGGAGGAGGAGATAGATGGGGCAGATAAGAGTGTGATCCAGAATGGTTTCTCATGGCCCAGTGGTAATCATGAGAGGCCCTTCTGGTACCCAGCTGCTGTAATTGTGATGCCCTTCTGCAAGAGGGCAAGTGAAAGTCTGATAGTTCTTTGTGTCTTTTTACACTAGTGGATGGTTGGTGCTATTGTGCTTTTCCTGGCTGTGCCTATCTCCAGCACCACTCCCACCTACCCATGGAGAGACCCCGTGACTAACAACAAGGTGGTGTGCCATCAGTGCCCGCCGGGAACCTTTGTGGCACAGCACTGCACCAGAGACAAACCCACAGTGTGCGCCCCATGTCCAGATCTGCACTACACGCAGTACTGGAACTACCTGGAGAAATGCCGATACTGCAACGTCATCTGTGGAGAGCTGCAGGTCGAGCTGCATCCGTGCAACTCCACCCACAACAGAGTATGCCAGTGTCAGCATGGCTACTACTCCGAGTCCGAGTTCTGCATCGAGCATGCCAAGTGTCCTTCCGGGTCTGGAGTAGTAAAGCTGGGTATGTATTGCAGCTGGAGTACTGAGGCAAGGGGTGTAGAGCTGTGTCTAAGGGCCTTATTATATTCTCATGCTATTACTGTCCTGTCAGAATCCAGGAGACACCTGTTAAATAGCAGTAGTGGATAATCTGACATTATGCGTGTGTATTTTCTCACCATATATATGTGCACCGCTGCCCTCTGTTGGATGGGATGTCAGATCCACTCAAGTGAGAGAGAGAATGTCGCCATCTAGTGGCTACGTCCTCTGAACGAGCAACATTCTACTACTGTTGTCCAAGTATAAATATTTCAACGGTTCCTGCTAATTTGACTATAATCTCTTGTGGGCACCCAGGGCTGAAGGCAATAAGGCATGTGGGCAAGGAAGGTTCATTGTGAGGGCCAGAAGAGGTTTGCTTGGTGTCTCAGTACTGGGATGGCACTGACAAATTAACTTAGCCATGGGGCTGCTTTCTGGAATCCTTATTTGGTGATTTTGAAAGCATATATTAAAGATGGAAAAGGGGCAAATGAAAATAAGACTGATAACCCCCCCACCCCACCCCACCCAAAAAAGCAGGTATGTAACGAAGAGCATTTAAGGGTGACTCAGAAGCCTAGCTCAGGATGACACATGGATTACTGAAGGATATTAGGGAGTTTTTATTTTTTCCTTAGCACAACTCTGTCTAGTTTTTAAATTACCCCCTTCCCTGTGGTATTTGAGGGCTATCCAGAATTACAACATGCACACAAAGATGTATTTCTCTCTCTGTCTATCTTTTTCCCTCCCCGCTCCAGTCATCAAGGACTGGCCTCTATTTATTTTGGTTTTAAGCCGCAGTTTTCTAGTAGGCAGGCTCGGTCTAGCAGTGTATTTTGCCTCCTACTCTGAAGAAATTGTGGTTTGTTTCCCTGTCAGTCTCCATGAATGCATTCCAGATTTATAGGCCAGTCACCGGGAAAGCCCTGTCTTCTGCGCACATGAGTCTCATGCGGGAGGTTGATGGCTTGTTCTCATGGAATATGACTATTGTGAGATGCCATGATTAGGCAGTGTGAGCTAGGTGCCCAGGTCATTTAGGCCAGTTCCATGTAGGTTGAATTTGACCAGGTGCTCAGATGACAGTGATGAGGGCCATATAAGTAGAATGGGGGCCAGTTGAAGGGAGTGAAACTGTGGGGTGATGGGCTCCTTCATTCTGCACCAGCTGTACCTTTTTTTAAGGTTAGTGATTTCGTACCAAGCATGCTACCTTCCTACCCGGGGAATGACAGTAACGAAGCCCAGAAGTCATGAATGCAAACCACAGTGAGGTGCAGGCAGGCTTCTCGATATAACTGGAAAGGACATTTATTTTTCACGTTTGCGACTACTTGGGTATCCAGAAATAGAGAGGAGTCTGGGCGCACACCAAGGTGGTGGGCTGATGTTACAGAGATGGCAAGTTCTTCAAAGGGCTTTGTAGCACGATGCGGGCTGCATGCTTTGGAGCAGTGACTCCTGAGATCAGAGAGTCGGCCGTTCGTTTCATGTGCAGGGCTCGTCAGCTTCCGAAAAGGCGGAGTGCTCTGTCCCGTGTGTGGTTTCTCTTGGCGCGCTGGCTGCTCTCTTATTATTTGATTTTCTGCCTTGTTTGTTTATGATCATCAACACGCGAGTCGGTGTTCCCAACCTAGCTGGCTGGGGTCCCAGCATTGAGCTGTCTTGCAGCCAAATCCTAAGTTTGGTAACTGCTCATCCTCCTTGAAGGCTGGGGACTGGGCCAGGGCAGGGCCCCTTCTTTGATCCTATGAATGATGTGTACACAGAGCCTAATCTCTCTCTGACATCCCCTTATGCCCAGAGGGAACTCAGAGCATTACCAGATGCAGACTTAGGGCCAGATTCACCATTGCTTTTCACCTTGAGCACTCATTTTCACCAGTGCACAGTGGGTGCCAGACATCGGGTAGTGGCTTGCGCTCACTTTACACTGGTGCAAATGACTATATAGGCACAGGACAACGGCGAACTGGGCCATCTTCTTTTACCGTGCTCCCTAAGGGGCCATTATCCCAAACACAATGGACGTGTACTGCAGGTACTTCACTGCTCAGACTCTTTCTGTGTCCCGTTTTGCAGGTACTCCCCATCAGAACACAAAATGTGAGACGTGCCCCCAGGGGTTCTTCTCGTCCTCCAGCTCCAGTACAGAGCCGTGCAAGGCGCACCAGAGCTGCTCGCAGCAGGGAAAGGAGACTAATGTCGTAGGAAACCAGTTCCATGACACCCTGTGCACCACCTGCAGGATGTTCAAGGGAAACGGCACCCAGGACTCAGGTGAGGAGCAAGGTCTCCTTGGGACGGAATAGCATTAACGAACATAGAGTGGGGGATTATTCAGGTCTGCCTGGGCGCGGGGCGGGGAGGGGAACGCATGCGCTAGAATCATGTTGCTAACCGAGCTGGAGTGAAACATTCCGGTGCAGCTTGTTCTACCCCAATGTATAGGATCGGTTCCAGTGGAATTTTATAAGTACAAAATTGGTTTTAATTAAACTACAAAAAGGACAAACTAATCCCCCCGAATTCACTGAAAGCTTGGCTAAGATCATCTTAGACAGGGTCCCCTGGCCCCTTCTCCAGCCATTGTCTCTTTCAATTAATGGCACTTTCCTTGGCTTGTCCCTGCCCCTGTTTTCCTCCCATCCCGATCTCTCAGTCTAGCGGTCAGGAAGATCTCCTTGTTGGCACCTTTTCCTTTTTGCTGCTCTCCTGTCCCCAGATATTGCCTGCATCAGGGCACAAGGCATGTCAGAGTCAGCCTGTTACCTACCTATACCTATCTCCTAGAACTGGAAGGGACCCCGAAAGGTCATTGAGTCCAGCCCCCTGCTTTCACTAGCAGGACCAAATACTGATTTTGCCCCAGATCCCCTAAGTGGCCCCCTCAAGGATTGAACTCACAACCCTGGGTTTAGCAGGCCAATGCTCAAACCAATGAGCTATCCCTCCCCCCTGTAGATGTTACGTACTGTCTGAAGTGGTAGTGAGAACATGTTGTTCTGGAGTATCTAGCACTGTCCTTCTGGCAGCCCAAGACACACAGCACTGAATCGTGCAGGAAACTGGAACTAGATCAGGAATCCGCAGCAGGTGCAGAAGTGGTGCCGCAGACAGGGCAGCTCGTGCTGCCTTTCCCGACTGTAGCCCCCAGTCTCTATTTTTAGCTTGTTTAAATTTTGGTTTCACTTCGTTAGTGACTCCTTCCCATTTAACCTTCATTCTCAAACCGACCCACTGAGGCAGATTGCCATGGACCTGTGCCAGGCAGTCACTGCACTGGGCAGGAATGAAGACAATGGATTTGCTCCCACGTTCTAGTGAATCTGTCCCTTTGGCTTCCATGAGGCTGTATTGGTGTAACAGAGGGCAGAATCTGGCCTCTGTGTCTTCCACAAACAATAGCTTCCCTTTGCCCAGCATGCAGCAGAAGGGATGCGTCCCCCAGCAAATGTGGCAGAAGGAATCTCTTGTTTTTCATCCCCCCCGGAGTCCCTCTCCCTGGTCAATATTCTTCTCTCCTCATCAAGAATGTGATGCAATGGAATTTCAGTAAATTCCAGTCAGAGCAGAGGTTGGCAATTCCATAAATGGAATCTTGGCTCATGCCCCATTCTTTGAGTCAGCCTTTTCCCAAAGGGGCGATGGTAGCAGCTGAGATGTTCATTATCACTTGCTTCTTTTCCAATCTGTCATCAGCACGTGCCCTTCTCTCGTTCAGCATCAGCAACTGGCTCTGAACCCTGCCCTGGGGTTGTTTATAGACACACACTCATCTCTTGAGCAACAGTGCACTTGCAAAACGGGAAACTTATGAATGGAGGGATATTTTTAACTCCCAATTTGCAAGTGTTCTTACTCAGCAGCGTAGCGTGTGTGTACTATGCCTGTGTATGTCTCTATGTACATAGCTACAGATACACACAGGCACGTCAGTAATTGTATACAAATACAAACTCTGTAGATAGGCTTCAATTTTCTGCTGATGTAAACAGACGTGACTCCGGGACCGGATTAGCTTTCCTCTGGGCCCGGGGTTATTAGACTTTGTGTGGCCCCTGAATACAAGTCTTTTTCCTGGGAGGGAGTTTGGTGCAGAAGCGAACTGGGGTGCAGGAGGGGGTGCGGGGTCTGGGAGGGAGTTTGGGTGCAGGTGGGGGATTCTAACCAGGGGCAGGGGATTGGGAGGCAGGAGGGGATGTCGGGTCCAGGAGGGAGTTTGGGTACAGGAGGGGGCTCCGGGCTGGTGAAGTGTTGGCGTGCAGGAAAGCATGAGGGGTGTGGGAACTGGGAGGGAGTTTGGTGCAGGAGTGGGCTCCGGGCTGGGGCAGGGGATTGGGGTGCAGGAGGGGATGTGGGGTCCAGGAGGGAGTTTGGGTACAGGTGGGGGATTCTAACCAGGGGCAGGGGATTGGGGTGCAGGAGGGGATGTGGGGTCCAGGAGGGAGTTTGGGTGCAGGTGGGGGATTCTAACCAGGGGCAGGGGATTGGGGTGCAGGAGGGGATGTGGGGTCCAGGAGGGAGTTT